CCAGTAGCCAGGCAGAAAGTATAGGTGGGGCAAGCAGACTAAAGGAATGCTGGGAAGAGGAAGAGCAGAGTCAGGCATCACCAGCCAAATACAGAGGAAGCAAGATGTGAAGGCAGAACTGAGAAAAGATATCAAGCTACGTGGCTAAACATAGATAAGAATTATGGGTTAATTTAAGTATAAGAGCTAGTCAGTAATAAGCCTGAGCTAATGGCCAAGCAGTTATAATTAATATAAGCTTCTGAGTGATTATTTTATAAGCATGCCATGGGACTGCGGGGGCCTGGTGGGACTGGAGAGAAACGTTCCAGCTACAATAGGGAGCTCTGAGAACAGTCTTTGCGATCACCTAACCCAGACTGGATCTCTGTTGTCAAGGCTGTGGCAGTTGCATAATTAACCATAATAGCTTCAAGGAATATACACAAAACAAAACTCTGTTGGTCTTCAGCTGGAACTAAGAAAATAAAATATGTAACTCTGTTCTCCCATGGTGTAAATTATAGCCGTGCATATAATGAAATTTCTTATTTGCATTGCCCATAAAATTGACAAAACTTCTTGTTCACTCCTTACTGGCCCATTGTGGGTTTTTTAAATGGTACTTTTAAAGTTTGCTTTGGCTCAGGGTAAAGCATTTGCAGGGACTTTATTCCTGGAGTCCTGGATCCCCTGGGTCATCTTCACCTTTTGCTAATTTATAGCTCACTGTGTGGTTTGTGTGCATGTTTGGGGAATGTCTGGAGATATCCTAACTGGTGAGATGTTTTAGAAGTAAGAATCCATGGGACAGGCAATTAAACAATCAAAAAAGTAAAAATAGAAAATGAGTGGAGAATAGGTTATAGAGGCAGCAGTAAAAATTTTAGGTTACCTTCTTGCAGTTGTTATGCATGTGACCGGATAATATTTGGATTTAATGGATGGAAAAAGATATGTACCAACAACCCAGAAAGTGTTTGAATGTTAACAGATGCAGATACAAAAGTACATGAAAAGGTAAAACCAATACAAAGTTGCCACTGAATATGAAATACAGTCTTGGTGAACTGTAATAGTCCACCAAATGTAACACTGCAGAGACACAAGCCCAGAAAACACTTTTGTGTGTACATCCTTGATTAAAAATAGGAGACCTTCAAGATGAACATTAGTATTTTGTAAACAATAACAAAACTGGGAGAGTGATAATGTACACATTTGTCAAAGTCTAAAGGGCAATGGAAACTCCTCCCATTCCAAATCTCCTCCCATTCCTGTATCAGATCTTGGTTTGAAACAATTTCCAATATCATCCTTAAAATCCTCAAGAGCAAAAGTGATGACCATTATCTCAAAATTGCACTGGTCTTAGGAAAGCAGAAAAGTCATTTCCAGAATCATAATGATTTCAAGCTAGAAGAGATGAGGATTAATGCTTAGTTCCTGCTTCATCCCAAAACTCACATTTGATTGGTTCCCTGTGCAGTAAGCATCTGGCCTAATGGTGCACAGCAAATTAATGGCATAGTGAAGAGGAGAGATTTTGAGATCTGATCTCTGAATAGATCATACTACTGAGCACTGTCTGAAGTCCGAAGGACTTCATTGCGGGATAAGCATCACCACTGGGGGCCACACAATGACAGAGAAGCAACCTTCTACATTTGTGCTCTGACATGGAAACATGCTCTTTCACCTAACACTAGCTTAAATGTCAAAGAAAAATATAAGCCATTAATATACTACCATGCATTAAATTGCATTTCTAATGACACAGTTAATAGGATAAACCATGTGCCCAGGAAATACCCCCTCTATTCTTAACCACAGGATTTACGAGTTTAATGACATAGCAAAATTGGACATTCTAATACAGCATTTAGAGAGTGCTCTAGCTTTAAGAGGGGGTGTTGCCAGCTTGCTATGGAGGCACATGGGTCTCAAGGTTGTATTAGTCTAATGCATATTCATGAAAACCATACTAAGGAGAAAAATAAGTAAATATTCTGTTACCTAAAATTAACCTCAAGTGCCTTAAAGTAGTCCCAATTCTTTCATTTCATTTGGAAGCAAGGTATAAACATTTACTTCTGGGTCTTTCTCTTTGAAAATACTATTATTGATTAATCTTTTCCAGTAACTTCTTGAGTTTCAGTTGGCCTTCAGACACATTTAAAAATCAAGTGATCTCAATTTCTTGTGATGAGATTCCCAAACCACAATTCTTCCCCCAATAGTTAACATGATATCGAGCTTTCATTTGGCTATGGGTTTTGTTTTTTAAGAGTGCCTTTGAACAATTCTTGTGAGTGATGTCCTATTGCTGCATGGCATTTGGTGTTACAGAGATTTAATTCCTTTATGGGAAAACTGTAATCAAAAATATAATATCAAATATCATTAAATAAGTGTCAACAAAGCAATCGTATTACTTCTAATTTCATTATAACAAGTCAACTTAAGTTAACTTGCTTATTTCACACTAATGAATACGTCTGTTAAGAGCCTAAAAGCTAAACTCCTTATCATAAGGAAGAAAAAAAATTTTTAAAGCCTTCATAAGAAAATCCTGGATAATCAATTTAATTGCTTGAATGGACATGCTAAAATGTCCTTCATGGTAGAGTTTTCTCAGCACGCTGCTTCCAAAAATCCTTCCCAAACCATCCTTAAAGTTCAGAGATGTTTTAGGCTGACACTTTGCTGGTGATCCATCTTTTCAGAGCATGGCTGCAATGAAGAGACCCCGGAAAACTGCTAAATGATCAGGGAAGGCTCTTGGGAACTTGTGCTCCTGGGGAGGTACTGGTTTGCAGAGTGTGAAGCAAGCAATTCCCCAAATGTACCCAGGAAACACTGCTGCCAATGCCCATGCTGGGAATCGGAGAAAAAGCCACTCTGAAGGATGACTGGACACCACCACAGCAGAACCACAGACAGTTTGGTCTCACTTCTGTGAGTGTGGGGGCAGGGCGTGCTTTAATTCAGAATACAGTTCAAGACTTCTACAGATTGGTTAATACAAAAAGCAATTAGTTACCCTCTGTGGTGTTGTTTGTCTGCTTTGGACCATTTTTAGGCTTCAGAGATAATTCATTAAGAAGTACACTGAAAATCTGAGTAGACAATTCCTAAGCAAAGGCTGCATGTTCAGAACTTCCTGACTGGTGCCCGGCAGCCTGGTCAGATTGTGGAGATGGCGTGACTCAATAATGAACCAGTAGTCACCATAGATCAAGAAGAGGAACTTCACTCTTCTAGTCTCAAAAAGACTTTATTCCATGAAAGTTAACTGAGGTTCCATTACCTAGGGTGAGAATGCAGATTTGGGACACACTGAAAATCATTGTGTCTTTGTGTTGGAACCCTCCAGAATCCTCTGCACTCACTATGAAATGCAGTTACGTGTCAACCATGCTACCTTGTGGTGTTGCAGGTCTGTCTCTGCTTCACTTTATCTGCATCTTGAGTTCTCAGATTTTACACATCTAAAATTCCTTTCTTTTTCAGACGGCATCTCAATAGAAACTCAGGTTGCCCTCAAAACTCACAATCCTCTTGCCTCGGTCTCCTATACTAGGACTATAGGTATGAACCTCATTGCCTTGCTTGAATACACTCAGTTTTAACTCTTTTTTTCCTGAAGAGGTAAAGCTGGGAGATGTGCAGATAAATATTCTTCTTGTTGCTTTAAGGCATGGTCTCATGTTTTACCCCAGGCTTGCCTGGAACTCACTTTATATCCTAGGCTGGCCTTGAATTCATGGCCATTTCCTACTCTAGACTCCTATGTGCTGGAATTATAGGTGTGGTCATGCATACCTGGCTCCAAGATAAAAAACAAAAGGAGTTTTGACTTCCTTTAGGAAAAAAAAAGGGGGGGGTGTCTTTTAAAAATATTCCTTGAGTAAATATTTAGAGATTTAATAATGAGTCAAATTCTCTAAATTTTCAACTTAAAAAGAGTAGTGTAAGGCAAAACATATTAGTGTACATTGTCTTCATATATAAATACTCTCAAATGTGGCATTTTTTGCAAATTAGATAACAGATATACTAATAGTGGAGTTTTAGATCTCAATGTTTACTACAGTATAGAAGCTACAACTAAACAATCTCTCTCGCTTTGTAGAACCTTCTACCTCTTTCTCTATCATCTTGAAAAACAGTCTCATACCTGTTCTCAGGAGTTAGAGACAAGACCTGTTTGAAGTTTTAACCCTTGGCACCCTTTATGGAACCATTGGCAGCCTGAATGACACAGTCAAGCAGAGATACTTTCTTTCTGATAAACAGTATTAAAGTCTCTCTCTCTCTCCTCTCTCTCTCCTCTCTCTCTCTCTCTCTCTCTCTCTCTCTCTCTCTCTCTCTCTCTCTCTCTTTCTCATACACACACACACACACACACACACACACACACACACACACACACACTCACATAGTACTTATGTTCAGAGCTGATTTTTTTTTCTTTTACTCCCAACTAATAAAATCAAGAGACTGCAAGGAGGCCGAGCGGCACACAGTTTGATGTCCTCAGCAGGATACAGGGAGTCAGAAGTGATGCTGTAAATCCAGCGTGGGGCTTCAACACTGTGTGAAGTGTGGCCTGAGCTGGGGAGATTTCCCTTTGATGCAAATGCAGTATATTAATGGGAACAGCATTCACTTTTATTTGTCTGTACTGTCTGCCACAGCAAAGCTGCCTCATTTAGCTTGGGCCAACATGAAAATACACAGAGAAGCAATCTGTTGCAAATTAGCACAACTCGCCTTTCATTTACTAGCTAGTAATTGGAAGGGGTTAAGAGAACGGAGCTTATCAGATCATGTGAGTGTATCTTGCCCACAGGGGCAGCAAGCTTTCCCTGAATTTCTCCGGGAACCCTGAGGCAAGAATCCTTCTTGGATGTTGACTTGATGCAAAGGAGAACACTGGCACATGTGAAACAGGCATGCTTTGGAAGACTTGAAAAGACGGACTGCTCCAGAGGCATTCGTGCCTCCTCCAACCTTACCTCTCTTTAGATAAGTTCTTACTCTCCCGTTTCCAAATGGTCTTGAAGTCGCTGCAGAACTCAAACCACACCATAAACACATAGCTTGGGGTGATCTCCTTCTCTCCAGTCTTTGGCTTCATTCCAAAATATCCCACCGTTGTTTCAAAACTGCAGAAGGTAGGGGGGAACATGCAAGGGGTAAGTAACTGTCAACACCAAAACCCATTAGGGTGATGACAAGGGATATTGTTGGAAGCTTCCCACATGACTCTTCCCTAACACAGGACTCAGGGCTCACAGGTACTGGAGAGTACCCCAAACTTTAGGAAGCCTATATAGATCTGGCAATAGAGTCACCATGATTGGGAAAACTACTAGGTACATCTTATCTATGTGAACTGAAGAACAGCACAATTCCAAGGTTATATAACCTAAGCATAAGTTTGTTCCCCATCTTAAGTTCATGTCAGTTTTCTGATCTTCACTCTGTATTTAATGACTACATGTCATATTATGACATATTGACTGCTCCAATAATAGTCAGTTAGATGGCCAATTGGGAACAGAGAAAATTGGGAAGCTTCTGTCCTCTCTGCGTTCTGGCATGCTCTGGTTCCTGGCTCCATCACTTGACATCTCACTCTCATTTTCTTAAGGGTAGAATAAGAAATTTACACTATATGGCCTTTAAAAGAGCTACATTTTAAAACTTGACCATAAGACAAGAATATCAACCACCAACATATAAAAACAGACATAACTGTGAGCCTAGTAAGGTTAGATGAAAAAACAATCTCCAGTCAGGCTAGAAAGGAGCTCAGACTTTTCTACGGTAGGCTCTTAGAGAACGCTGTGACCTGCCCCATGAAGGCACACTGCCCACGAGCCTGACTGGGCCTCCCAAGCAGCCCTTCATGGAGGCAGTACCTTTGTAAGGATTTATAGCTCTGAACTCCGTCTTTTTCCCCCATGCCCTCACCCACCCCAAGCTTCACAGGCTCATTTGCCAAGAGCAAGAACTCTTAAACAGCCCCCTTTCAAGGGTGTTGGAAACTAATCAAAGCAGGAATGGCCAGCCAGGTTTATTACTCAATGCTCTATCATCTGCTCAGGCATGGTGTTTTTTGTGGCCATCCTGAATACTGAGTTTCTAATGGGACTCTATTCAGTGGTGATTGTAAAACCCCAAAGCCCTGTGACTATTATGGAGCATACTTTCATCTCCTCCTCAGTTATTGGGCAATATGTATCTCATAAGATTTTATCACATTTCACAGATGAACTGTTAATTGATTCCATGGCTACGATTAGGTGAGATCCAAGCTGGAGCTGCTGCTCCAAATCTCATAAATCCTGTGTGCTTCTGTAAATAACAAATCTGTTTTTAATGCAAATTAAAACTACTGGCCAGGGAATTTGGCCCCTAGTTATTAAAAGTAAGTGGAGAAAAGAAATGATGGCAGTAATATCTGAAGGGACTTTCTGATAATTCCAAACACACATATTTTGGAGCAAAACCAGTAATCAAAGAAAGTAGCAAAGTCAACTCTTACCCCAGACATAACACCCATATCTACAGCTGTCAAAATACTGATAAAACCAGATGAGTATTCTGCATCATATACCTTTACTTCATTCAACATGGAATTTACATTGTAATATGAAGCTATGCAGAGAATTATACAACCAATAGAGGCAGGCTGTGGATTTCCTACTGAGCTATTGGGTTTAGAACTAAAGAGACTGGGCAGGTTAACATTTCCAATAGTCTCATTCTTCAGATGAGACAACGGAGGCCTGGGAAGACTGAATGACCTCATCCACTGGCAGACCTGAGTCTCTAATCAGGTTCCCAACTCCCTGTGAGATGCATGTCCTACTCTCCCCTTAGGTTGCTCATGGGCACTGATACAGGCAACTACCAAACAAGACAGTCACTTCCTCTCATTTCTCTTTCGGATTCATGGATTACACATGGATCACCTCAGGGGGGCACACCATCATTTCTCCTCTTTCCTTATGTTCACTTTCTATACAGAAACAGAGTTGTATGTATGCAGACATAGGAGAGAAAAATTTTCACTTTGTATTCAGAGGAACTCATTAGCTTCCTATTCCATACTAGGATGTAGTGATGAGCATACATGACTAATTGCCGCGATTCCTCCATCATGACAACACCTCCACGTTATCTGGAGTCCACATTTGGACACACTAGACATTGGTGCAGTCAGAAGTAACAGTGGTTCTGACGTTTATCACAAACATGTCAGTCCCCTGGGGGTTTCTCTTTTCCCAACTCTGTCTTCACAGCCTCAGTCAGTGCGTGCGTGCGTGCGTGCGTGCGTGCATGGTGGTCATGGTGGTAGTGGTGGGGGCATTGGGAAGCCCTGTTTGACTCTGTCAGAGGCGTTGAAAATTAAAAGACATGCTGCATTTCAGCATGTTTTCCCTACGTGTTTTGGGAGCATAGGCAGCAAGTGACTGTTTAGAAGAAGCAAGTAGAGTCCAAGGTATGCTTTAATGATAGTGCTGTGATACTGACAGACACTCGCTCTGAGAAGGTGCCTCATTTAATCCCAATGTGCCCCTTCTATTTATAAAAAGGCTCGGAGCTACACTATGAACCCACCACTGCCTGATAATGTCCAGACTATTGCCCTACCCAGTCAAAATGTTCATCCCAAAAATTCAGTTTTGGTTCATTGAACACTGCACTGAAAACTTGACATTTGGACAAGAAAATCATTGATATTTAATTCCTGGGGCAATTTTCTCCAATAGACAGCAGACAAAGGATGCTGTGCTTTTTGAAATGTCCAATTCTCAGCACACAACTTCCAAATAGTATTCTACTTAAAAAAAAAAAAAAAAGATAATGTCTAATCATATGTTTTGTTTTATACCAATGTATTTCATCTCATTTTAAACTAGTCCCTGATTCTCTTCCATCACATTTCCTTGTCTGGTCCACATTCTTTAAATTTGGCCAAACTTTTTTCTTTTTTTTTAAGGGCAGATGATGATTGTATCAAAGAGCCCAGAGCTAAGCAAACTGCTCTACACTTAGTGTGGAGATGCCAGAGCGGGACACATGCCCTTGCTGTTTTCTCATGCGTGCTTCCAGAAACTGCTTAGGAAAAGCAAATATCCCTTGGCCTCAGAGTAAATTGTTTCTCTTGAGAATAAAACATAAGAATTTACTAAGTCTCACACGAATATTGCAACACTGACCACAGCCTCCTTAAAGAGTGCAAGCAAACAACCGTGGTTTCTACATTAAAGATGAGATCTAACATATTTCAAGTGTGACATGAAAGCTAGCCTACCTTCACCACAAAGTCACGGAAAATGCTGACAACCAGAAGTTATGACTCCTCTTAGCATGCCTAATGCACAGCAGCAGCCCAGGCCTCTCTAAGATGGGCCCCCTGCCCTTCAGCCAAAGTCTTGAAAAGGGATTAGGAACTTGACATGCACCCCGGAAGCTGAACTGCTGCTTGGCCTGATACCAGCCTGCCCTTGGTGATAGCCTCTTCTCTGAGTGCTGAGTGTCTCTGACACTAATTTTACACACCAAGGAAAGAAAGCGTAATGTAAGGGTAAGTCCAACAGAGGGGAGCCAAAATCTAAAAGCATAACCGTGTAATTGTCTTAGTTTTCAACAATTATCATGATAGGATGATGCTCATGATTCAAGAACATGTCTACACTTAGAAAACTACACGACTGGCCTTCATTTTGTTTTCATCGGCATCTTAATTTTGTTGGCAGATTACAGCAGGAAGCAGGACTAAATGTTGGCACCTGTCTCTGGGTTTGCAGAACTGTGGCTAGAGTGAAGGAAAAGGACCCATTTCTAGTTTATGCGTTCTTACATTCATAACTATGAAATTATTCTCATCTATTTTGTAAAGCTTATTTTGTTTCCCCTTAGATGCTACTTCCTACCCCTGTTCCCTCATTGAATTATCTGGAACTTTTAGAATATTTAACAGTCAGTGGTACCTCAGGCCTCTCTCCTGAATGACTCAATATACTAGAAGGGAGGTACAACCAAGGGGCAACTGAGGTGAACTAATTAAGAGATCCTTCCCCCAGGGATTGGAACAGATGGATTCTGGGTTCCACCAGGTGAGGTGATGGCTACCCTCTGGTGTCTACTGAGAGAATCAGGAGTTAAGAAGAGGGGTTAGGCTCAAAGGAAGAACCCTAGGGTCTCTTCTGACTTCTGAGGGAGTTTTTGTCCAAAGAAGGTATCCCTCTTTCTGCCTGTCCCTTGTCTATAAAACCCTCTACCATCTGAGAAAAGAAACTGAAGTCAATGGGAGGGGCGTCACTTCTGGCTTACTGTTCATAGATGTTTCAACAGACAGGATCCAAGGACTAGCTGTTCAAACACAATCCAAGTGAGATGAGTTAGTCATAAATGGTCAAATGGCACAAGACTCTACAAAGAGGTAGGAAATAGAGCAATGCTGCCCAGGCCTTGTGGAGGAAGGGCTGAGATGAGGAGTTAGTGCTTCACAGTTTCAGAGTTTTGGATGGAGTTCAAGAGAAGATAGTTGCACAGCAATGGGAATATCCCTTATGATTATAAACATAAAGATGTCTAGTCAGTAAGAACCGAGTCCAACTCAGAGCCACTTACCTTTTCTGTGCATTCTCCAAGTGCATTTCTTCCATTTTATGCTCTTTTTTGGCTGTGGAAGAGAAATAATAATGATTAAGCTATTTTCTTACATAATCACCCTTGTGTAATCATATAGCTTTGATCACATCAATTCATTATTACAGGAATTCAAGAGTGCATTCGAGTCACATGCCTGGAGATCATGTTCAAAAACATTGCCTTCTTGAACATGACTGTAGCTAGCCACAGTCAAATAACTCTGTTTTGTCTGGAACACCCTTGAGAGTGAAAGGGAATGATAATAATTATAGCTGGAAAAATACATAAATTGGAAAAGTTCTGATAGATGTGGTTGCTCGAGTTATAGCTGGCCTCCTCATGATCTTTACCATAGGCCCATTGTGCTCTCTCTCTCTCACCCCCAAACATAGTAGAGTAGTATCTGCAGCAACTCTGCTGGAGTTCCAGAGCAAGCACAAGAATCCTTGCACAGTCTTCCTTCCATTCACAAGTTCATTGTCAGTCTAGGGGAACCTATGGATGTTTGTCTCAGATCAACATTTTGTAAATGCATTAGGAAAGAAATGCATAAGATTACTGTGGAAATTAATGACACTGAGATACAATATGAATCTACTGATGAAGAGTTCATGTTCTGGGATTATTTAACAAGGAAATTTTATTCTAGGTGTTTTACAAATTTTTCTACTTTGAAGATGATATTATTATGTATGAAAATAACATTCATACTTTTAAAATACCCAGAAAAAAATAAGTAGGCCACAGCATAATCTATGGGTAATCTAAGATGACTTTAAATGAATGAACAAAATGTCTGTCATAATAATCTCTATTGAGATACTTCATGAAGGGAATTAAAGGATTTACAATATTAGCATTGTATAAAACTTGGGTCTGCCACTTACTACCTTTGTGTGGGACTACGGAGAAGTTACTCATGACCAAATGCTTAATCATTGCCTCATCTATTCTCCAAGAACAGCCATAGTAATCACTGTCAACGTTAAATGAGATAATGCAGGTACAGGGCTGAGCACACAACACATGCTCCCTCCACGACATGACAGCATTTATTAACACCTCATCCTCATTTTCTTTGTCATTCATTCAGAAATGGGCCCCCTCCCTGATATCATACTTGACATAACTTCTAAAGTGTTCATAATGTCCTAGGAGGCCCTGGCTCCTTGGAGACACCATCCTTTCTTTCCCACATTCATTTCTGTGTGGCCAGATGAGGTTTGAGCACACAGAGTGCATCTGAGACTCTTTGCCCCTGTGGTTTCTCTTCCCTGGAGTATCCCACTTGGACTCTACATAGCTGTCTCCCTCCTTGCATTCAAGTCTCAGCTCCAATGCCAGCTTCTCTGATGGGTCTCACCACAGAGAAAAACATCCATTCCCACCTCTCATCCCCAGGTCCTCCCTCATGGTCTCTTCCTTTTTGCTTCACTTCCCCACCCATTGCCTCTATCTGCCCAACAGATGAGACTACTCCTAATAACATATCTGCCTATAATACCACAGTATAATGTAAGCTCCACGAGAATAGTGACTTCACAGTTTTGTTGCTTTCTGCTGTAAGTCCAAAAGTTGGTATTGAGTTTTTATACACATCAGTGTATATATTGGTCATGAAGTACTTAAAAGGAGAAAGACTGGCTTTCCTAAGCAAACAACAGAATATTTAGAATATAAATGTAAGCTAAATATTGTGGAATAATGTGGTATGTCATTACTATGTACATTATATTTCAAGTAATAAAATTGCAACAATATTAAATAGTCTGGCTTTTATAAGTGCATCATTTTGTGGGGGCTAAGTAGTACTATGGCCCTCCTTTGCTATAAGACTTCCCCATAGTCCCAATAGACATTTCTCTGCATTACTCTGATTCTCTGCCAGTCAGATGCTGAGAAGTAACCTGAATCTCTCAGGTTCCAAGTGTCCCTCAAATGTAAAACAAATCAAAGATTCTTTTCATGTCAAATGATTTTAAACTACGTGCATGGCTAAACAGAAGGACAAATTCCTTTGAGCCTTGATGGTCTTCCTAGAGCACCTATGATGTTCTGTCTGTCATTGGATAGTTTCCAGTTGGCCACATCTATGATGTAGCAAGTCAACTATGGCCAACCTGTCACTACATATGAATTTAGTGACAAGAAATAGTATATGCAAACTGAATAAACTAGCAGGTAAGACCTTCAACATCACTTCGAATATGGTGACTTGAAAAGAAACAATGTCTGAAAATGCAAAGCAGGTATTATTGAGAGGTAATGAACTCCACAGAATCTCTGAGAGTTTGGGAGAAAGGGTTCTAAGGAAAGTGATAAGACCTAGTGCCTTTCATTTTTCCCATGCTAAGGGGCTCTGTATAGACAGAAAGGGACACACTGTGATGTAGATTCTCAACCAGCCTAACATATTTTGCTACCACAAGGAGTGACATTTCTGACAGTACCACTGACCATTTTAAGTTACCAAATGCTCCATTTAAGCCAAATTCAAATATATTGTTTAGAAAGAAAATGTTTAAAGACTGGATTCATGGACTCAGAAACTAAAATTCCAATATCATTAACAAATAAAGCAATTTGGGGTCAAGTGTAAGAATCTCAGTGATCTCAAAATCGAGCTCTCATTTCTCAGAATTGGAGTTGAAGTCCTGGGGTGGGTAGGTGGATGGGAAATGACAAGGTGATGAGAAAGCTCTGTTCCATTCAAGAGATGGTAGGTGCTCATCTTATTACTGCATCTTCCACATTTCAGAGAGAAGAAAGGATAAGTTAATGTTTAGCAACACTGCATACAGCAAAGAGAATATTCTTGTTGGTCATAGCTTCCTTGGCAACCAGTGACACCAGCCTGAAGTAGCTATCAGCATCTTGAACTAGGTGAGTTCATTCGTAGATTCCATGTGGCCAGAGCCTATTTTAAGTGCTTGGGATCTAGCAGAAAGCAGAGCTGCATCTCCACAGAACTTTGACTTGAGTTAGGGAAGAAAGGTAGCTAAACCTGACAGGATAGGGCACGCTGTAAGCAACTGTTGGCAACTGGTAGCAGGAGATTTTTTAGAGCACAGATGACACCCACAAAAGGAGCCTTTGTGAGTGAGTTACTGAATTAGTCTAGACAGTCAAAGCTGGAGTACCCGTATGCTGGTACTAGCTTCAAAACAGAGGGTACAATATATTGATAATAATGAACCTTGTGAAAATTTTCCTTATCCTACAACTTTAACTAATGCCCCTGGATCTATGTATGGAATGTACTTAATCTTCTACTAGGCAAAGTCACACGAGTAAGTGGCATTTCAGTGTTTCTAAGTTTTCTTTCCCCCACAATTTAAACTGTGGCATTACTAGTGGGGGTAGGGTGGATAGGCTTCTTAGAAGACTAAGTTTGAAGTTAGAAGATTAAATTGAGGGGGGGTTTGTCAGCTGCCATCAGGAGATATGGGAAGACAACACGGGGCATCCCCACCTTGCTCCTGGCTCTTGTTTACAAGACTCTCTTTAAAAGACTATAGCAAGTTAAATATAATTATTTTCCAAATTGGGGGATAAAGCCACAGTTTTTAAGACAATAAAGGTAATTTAAAAGAATTCCAACAATGAGAAGACTCACTTAACACCAGTTCTGCCTTCCAAACTTCTTATCAAGGCTACACGTCCAGGGGTCTCTAACCTTTTCACACTGCAACCCGACATTGCCATCTACAGATGTGTCGGTTCATGTCTAGCTATGCTGGTTCATTTTTGTGAACTTGACACGAACTAGAGTCGCTTTGGAAGAGGAACCTCAGTTGAAGAATTGCTTCCATCAGATTGGGCATATCTTGATGAATGATTAATGTGGAAGGGCCCAGCCACTGTAGATGGTGTGACCCCTGGGCAGGTGCTTTGATGCTATTTCAGTAATGACCAAACATCTTTACCAGTAGATTATAAAACTACTTTCTTTGCTTATTCACAAGAAGCGACTCATCTGTTGCTTGAGATTGTAAAAATTCAATCACATCTTTAGACTCTGATTCTCATTCTAATTCTTTTATCTCTCTGCACTACAGTTATTGCCCCCAAAGACTGGAACCTCTCAAAGTCAAACACAGGGGTAGGAATCAACTTCCTCCAAACTCCTGTTAGTGTTGATATTTTTGAGCTCCTCCTATAAATCACAAATGCTTTTTAAAATAAATCCAGAATGGTGAGTCTTCTCTAGAATGTTTTTCAATTTACCTTGCCTCTATTCACCAGAGGAAATCAGTATGTGTGGCAGGTGTAGCATTACAAAATGAATTTATATGACTTTTTGTTGTTGTTTTTCAAGACAGAGTAGTCCTGGCTATCCTGGAACTAGCTCTGGAGTCTAGGCTGGCCTCAAACTCACAGAGATTCCGCCTGCCTCTGCCTTCCAACTGCTCAGATTAAGGGTCTGCCTGGCATAAAATGAGTTTATAAAACAAGACTTAAAAGTCAAACATACTCCTTGATTCATAGGCTGCAGAATGGCTGTCATATTTATAGGCAAAAAAAGAAAAACAAAACAAAACAAAACAAACAACTGTAATTCATTGTCCATCTCAATTAGTGCTCCTGGCCACTAGACGTCTTGTCAGTGAGCAATGGCATTTTGAGAGGAACCTTTTTCCCCTCTTCTTTCTGAGCAGTCTCAACAGTGGCCTTAGAATATCCAGCAAACCATGTTGAAAACAGATGTGCTGTCAGCTAAGTGTTCTTGTTCCATTTACAGAACCCAAACAGGAGAATTAGTATCCTTAAGGGTCTTAGGATGTTCATAGTAGAGAAATGGCAAAAAATTACCAGCTGCATTAGTCCTTGGTGAGTCAGCCTGTGCCCTGAAACCAAGCCTGACTTCTACTCTGCAGCTGTGGAAGTCCTCCAGGACATTGTCTTCTAATAGGAAGCCTTTTCATATACACTGGCTGTCTGTTGTTATATGTAACCACTATCCTCAATGATAAGCTAGAACTTCTGGGTAACATGCTGCAGCCTTGATAACATTATTTGCTAATTTAGTTT